ACCACACTAACAGGACCTGCACGAGCTGGTACCTGAAATAACGCGGCACAACGGTAAGAAACAGTTCTCATGCTTAACAGATTGTAGAAAAGAACAAAAAAGTTCAAATTTTTTGGAGGTATGATGCCTGTTGTTACTTCCAGTTCCAGCTAAGAAACCACAAATCTAGATGACATACCATTATCAAATATGACATGAGAAACGAAAAAAGGATAAATATGAGATTGTGTAGAGAATATGTTGTTGCACATGTACGAATGTAGCATCAAGTAATTGCTCCAGTATATTCCCTCAATAAATTGGTAGGTTATGATGTTACATATATGATATCATGTAGACTATCTTAAACATAGAGGAGCAGTAGAATATAGTACGTAATGTTGTAATGATGTGCATTTATGAGAGAAAATAAGTTTCACGACTTACTTGATCTTCACCAGGTTCAAGAGATGATTGTGCTACCACCGATTTATCTGACCAGGTTAGTTCTCTATCTGATTCAGATGGAGTCGGTTCTTCAGATCCAACATTTTGGCCACTAGCATCTACAGAGTCCACTTGGATATCCATAGTTTGGTTGGGATGAGTTTCTTCCTTGGCATCAGAAACTGATGACTGAACTGGATACTGTTCCAACTGCGGAACATCTTCATCATTAAATGAATGCGTCTCAACATACTCAACTGCTCCAGAAGATAAAGTGGAGTAACTGTCTATTGGGATGTCTGCATTGAATGTTTGAAGACTAGCTTCATCCTTTTGTTTCTGCGCTTCCTCTTCCTCGAGCATTATCCCTTCAGCTACTGACCTGTTTAATGAAGATTCAGCTATGTCATGCACCACATCAGGTGAGTCGTCCAGTGTTGTCACATGCTCCCTCGTGTCACCATATCCCAAAGGTGGACATGTATGCTCAACTGGGAGATGTTGTTCAACCATTCCTGTAGATACGACTTCCTCTTCTGTAGGAGAAACCAAATTCACCAACGACGCACTAACATCAAGCTCTCTGGTTTCTACGGCCTCTTTCACGTCTTCATGCAGCTCTTCCAGGTCCTCTTGACTAGAAACAGACAATGAGTCATCCTCCTGGTGATCAACATTCTCGTTCTTATCCAAAGGCAGAGAAGATGGATCAAGTAAGGCATCCTCAAATTCAGACTGTGAAACAGTTGCATTATTTTGACCATCAACTCCAACCTTCGTAATGAGAACGCTTGCCTCTCCTGTTTTTTCTGTGCTAGTCTCTCCTATTTCCCTTGTCCTTGTTGCAGTCCCATCAGAAGTGGAATCAATTTCTGCAGGACCTATGCTTTCAGAATAAACTTCACGTTCTTTATCTGCAGTTCCTTGTACTTCTTCTCCATTCTTTTCAGGTAGGTCTAGTTTGTAATCAGACGATATGGAAGAAAATGATGGGACTCTACTGGCTGAGGGAGGACTTGAATCGTAAACAGGTTCTTCGTGGTGGCCGTCCACCGAATTACAGAGAGCCCGAATTGCTGATTCCTCAAGTGAGGGATGCACAGTAATGAAAGAGTCTTCACCAGGCACTTCATCATGGTGATAATCATCTTCCACCCCTCTTGCCACATGGATTTCTAATTCTCGAAAAGAGGGCTGGGAAGAAGTACCTGATTCGTCATGAAGATCAACTTTCTGCTCCGAAATCAACATTGCTTCATTCTCACTAAAATCCTCTATCTTTTCTTCTTTCTCTGATAAAGATGAATCACTATCACTGGAATCCTCTTCATCAAGTTTTCCCTTATCAGAAATTTTTCCTTCCATCATGTTTAATTGCTCATGGTCTGTTTCTGCACTTCCCAGTATTATCTCAGCCACATCATGATGAAGATTTCTGCTATCAGCTTGTCCGTCGAAATCGGAATCTTCTGACGAATGGCTTTTTTCTTCATCATGGTCAGAAGCTGAATGGCTTTTTTCTTCGTCATGGTCAGAAGCCGAATGGCTCTTTTCTTCATCATGGTCAGAAGACATATCAACTTTTTTAATTTCGGTTTCTCGATTAACATCATGTTCATCTACCTTCTTTTCGTCATCCTCCAGGATTGTGCACACAGATTCAGTATCAGGAACAGAACTGACTTTTGATTCACTTACTTCACTGAGCTGCCTTTCAAATGGATAATAACTCGTTCCCTCATTTGCTAATCTTTCTAGCACAAAGAAAGGTCGTAGCCTATCATGTCTGGGACCTCCAAGCGTTGATGGACCTACACTAAAACTCTCATGTCTTCTGAAAACTGGATCCTTTGGTTGTTGAGAAGTGAACTCTTCCTCGAAACTGTCACCTTTGAGGTCTGGCTTTTCTTCATTTGGCTCATATGGAAGATCAAATGGGTTTCTCCTTGCAAACATAACTGACGGGGCAGAGCCAGGGATAGGTGGTAATCCCATATCATCATACGGATCATATGGAACATCAAATGGATTCTGCCTTGCAGTTGAGATTGGGGGCATATTAAAGGGAACATCAGCACTGTCAAAATCAATAAGATTTCTCTCTGCCATCAGTCTCATATTGTGGCGAGCCCTTCTCCTGGCAATAAGATTCTCCAACCGTTGGTTCCTTTCAAGCTCGAGACTTCCTAGATCCATGACATTTCTTTGGTCAATCTCTGTCCACTTGATTGCTGATTTACT